ATGGATGCACTTGAGCAAAGCACATCACTTGTGCAAAACCACATGGCCGCGTGGACACGCTCTTGTGGAAGACCTTTTGCACAAGAACTCTTGCACAAGAACTGCACTGTAGATGTAGCCTCAAATTCCCCACCCCCCACCATATACATTATTTTTGGAACCGGCTGACTTTTTGAACAGCACTGTCGTGTGGGAAGCAGATGGCTCCAGAGAGACAATGGGAAACGCCCCAGACAGTAAGGCAGTGCATCACCGCCTGATGAGAAAGGGAAAATGTCAGGAAAACGCTTTTAGGGACATTTCTGTGTTAGAAAAATGGCAAGATTTTGTCTTTTTTTCCAAATGAGAATTTTTTTGGCAATTCTAAGGCACTTAAATGCAGCCTTCAGTTATTTATATGGAGCCTTTCTGACTTCAAGACGCTGGGTTTATTTCATTTCCCAGGCTACATCTAGACTGCAAGCCTCTTGCAAAAAAGTGTGTCTAGACGACAACCAGCACTTTGGAAAAAGCAAGCCACTTTTTCGAAAGAGAGCACCCAGGCAGTCTGGATGCTCTTTTTGGAAAAAGCCCAGTTTGCATTACATAGCGTCTTTTTTCGAAAGAGCACTTTCAAAAACAGGCACTATACCTCGTAGCATGAGGTTTTCCACGGTTGAAAAAACGGCCGCGTTCTTTCCATTTACTTTCGAAAGAAGGCGGCAGCAGTCTAAACACAGGAGAAGTGTTTTAGAAAAAAGGCCACTGTTTTAGAAAAAGCCCTGTAGTCTACAGACATCCGCAGTGTGATCCCAAAGGACTTCAAAGGGTTGACTCTGTAAGTTGAAACGGGGTGACCTGTGTCCCAATCTATCGGCCACTGAATTGCCAGGGGACATTATGTGAGCTTGTTCTCCTAGCTGTTCCTGCAAACTTCACACCATAGTCGGCAGGAAAGTAGTACCTAGAATTCAAATTCTGTAATGGCATTGAATTGAGAGTAAATGCAAATCCTCTTTCTCTTTCTCTCTCTTCTTCCTTCCTTCCTTCCTTCCTTTCTTTCTTTCTTTCTGTTGTCACTGGGCCCATGACTTAGATGGGAATGGATAGAAAGACGAAGCTTTTCAAGACTGCCAGGGGTATTTGGCTGTCCAGTTCCCAAGAACACGGACTAGGCATGAAGGCAATCCAGCGGATGTCTGGACATCTCAGCCAGACTCTTGCCTTGGTTGAGCGTGTTAGATCTGGTTCATCCCAGCCTGGCTCTGGCTCTCTGACTGTGTTGTGTTGGGGGGGAGGGTGGCTGCCGTCTGAGCTGCGGGTTTTTGTAAAGCTCTCGGTGAGAGTGCGACTCTGGTTCCAGCGCCAGGACGCTCACTTTTGGGATGGGGACCCAGCTGTCTGTGTGTCCAGGTCAGTGTCCCCAGCACAGGCCGGAACCCGGCTGCTGTCAGTGTGTGCTGAGTCCAGCGGAGTGACCCCAGCAGAGGGTGGATTGGCCTGACGGGCACCGTGTCTGCTCGAGGCCTGGGGCTGCAGCCAGCGTCACCTGGCGATGAATGAGACCAGCGGCCAGTCTGTGCTCATGCCTCTGTAGAGAAAGGTCCCGGCCTTCCTGGCCAGGGAGGGGACCCGTGTGGGTGCGGGTGGGCAGGTGATGGGGACGGGATCTCAGGCACCAGAGTGCACAGCAAAAGTGACAGACGTTGGGCCAGGCCTCTGCCCCTTCAGCAGAGTGAAAGTCTGGAGAAACTCCACGGAGAGTCGCCAGGGCTTCTTCACAATCGTACCCCAGCGCCCAGCTCCCTTGGGAAGGTAACGCTAGAGAGAGGGGGGTGGGGATAGATAGATAGATAGATAGATAGATAGATAGATAGATAGATAGATAGATAGATAGATAGAGGGGATGTGTGGGGATAGATAGATAGATAGATAGATAGATAGATAGATAGATAGATAGATAGATAGATAGATAGAGGGGGTGTATGGGGATGGATAGATCACATTATGTAACCAACAGGCCTTACATTTCAGAGAGGAAGAGAGGGTGAGTTTTTGTTAAGGGCTTAGATGCTGTGAGTAACAACAATGAGAAGCTCACTTTTGGGAGTGGGACGCAATTAACAGTAGTGCCAAGTAAGTCACTCGGTTTTGGGTAAAGAAATTTTCTGATGGGGTTTACAACGAAGCCTAAGGGTCCCGAATCCCATTGGTTCCAAGGCGAGTTGGGCACCTAACTCTTAGATTGTTTTGAAAATCCCAAGCTCAGATATGTGTCCGTTAATTGTTGGTGTGAATCATCTAAATGGAAGAGGAGGGCTGAGCTTCACTTAATTAATTATATGAATAATGAGTTAGAGATTCCGAGACATGTAGGGGTCGAAGGGTCCTCAAGAGCTCATCTAGTCCAGTGTTTCTCAACCTTTTTTTATAAAGTATCCCATTTTTAAAAACAAATTATAAGTCCCCCCAATACCTAAAGTTTTCAGACACACACACATTTTTTCTACCATTGCAACACATTTGTTTAAACAACTTAATCATAGCCAGTTGGGCGATTACATTTTTGGGTGTAAAAAGTACAAAACTAATAAAGCACTGGAAAACATCAAACAAAAATTCCGTTTTCTCCACATTTCAGTTGTGTTGACGCGCCCCCAGACTTCTCTCAAGACCCCCTAAAGGTACGGGTACCACTGGTTGAGAAACACTGCTCTAGTCCATCTTTTGCTCTGCATCAGGATACATTTTGCGTAGATGACCTTGACAGATATGTTACCTTTTTAAAACCACTAACGATGGGGATTCGAGCACCTCATGCCACAGAACAAAGGGAAGCTGAATTCTCTTTTTGGCCATTGAGCGTTTTTGTAAAGCAGTTGGCTGGTGTGTGAATGATGCCAGCAACAAAGTGACTTTCGGTGCTGGCACGAGATTAACAGTGCGACCTGGTAAGGAAGACGGACCGGAGACGGGGTGGACCGGAGAGGGGGTGGACTAGAGACAGGGTGGACCGGAGACGGGGTGGACCAGAGAGGGGGTGGACTAGAGACAGGGTGGACCGGAGACGGGGTGGACTAGAGACAGGGTGGAGATCACAAAAGCTCAGTTCTGTTTTGAGAGTGGTCTCCCATGCGCTCCGTTGGCGATAAGCGTGGTAACAATTCTTAGGGCCATTGCTAGCGGAATTGTCTTCGATGCCAACCCAATAGTGTTGTCGAGAATGTCGCTTTACGGTGATTCCCACCTGCCTCAATAAGACGGTGCTGGGAAAGCGTTCACCTGCATGGCCGTGGGTGGGACGGTCACATCGCTGGTTAGAAATGGAGTGAGAACCTCCAATTGGGGAGCTAAGGAAGGCGACCGGAACGCGGATGAAAGTTGCACCCCACCCTGTTAGTAAAGCCCCGGGTGACTGTGTAAGACGCGGAGGGACAGGTTTCAGTTCACATTTGGAAGAGGGACAAGGTTTAAAGTCAATGCAAGTTTACGAGTAGTTATAGGAATTCTCATCCCCTAGATGTTCAAGTGCAGAGGTGGCGTTAGATCCCGGGTCTGATTGGCCTCCTGTATGACACAGCTCTGAGCTTTCACTCCGTTGGCCCCATCCTGAGCTGAAGAACTTGTGTTTGACTAAAATGTATCTTCCAAAAGTGACCCAGTCGTGAAGAAATCAGGAGAATGGGATCTCACCTCTTCCATTAGTCGCTCGTACCAATAGTTCACCCTCACTGCTAAAATGTGTGTGCCGTGTTTCTAATTGGAGTTGGTCTGGCGTTAGCATCCAGCCACTAAGCCAATGTCTGGTTGGTGACAGGGGGCAAGCACAATTCGTTAAGTAATAGTGAAGTAAATTAGCACCGAACAACCCTAGTGTACTGAGTACGGATCGTGACTGGGTGTATATTTATCCCTTCGACTTTCAGCTGGCACGGTTGATGTTGTACGTTCTGCTGACAAAATAGATCTTCATAAAAATGAAGGTCGCTTTACACGAAGGCCGTTGCTACTTGGCCCTGGGAGACACGGAGCCGGATTCTTGGCTGCAGTACGTGGCTAAGGAAAGGGTCCGTGGCAGGGAAAGTTGTTCAGCCGCTTTTTGTAAAGCCCTGAGTTATGGTGTAATGCTGGCGCCAGCGGATACGCACTTATCTTCGGAGGGGGGACAAAACTGATTGTTGAGCCAAGTAAGTCTGAGTTTTGACAGCAACTTATGGTAGTTTAGACCAAGAACGGCAGGCGTAATGGTTTAAAGGGAAGCTCCCATGTCCCTTATTCGGTCAATTTTGGTCAATTTTCAATGCTCCTGAGAATGTTGGCAATTAAAAACCCCCTAGCTATTCAATTGGTGCTTTCATGGGATTCTCCAACAGCCCTTACAGGAATTTGGCTTGCAAACGACGCCCAAATGTGCTAGTTTCCTTTGAAAACCTCAGTTTTAAAACTTTGAATTTCCGGCTCCTGTAAGGGGAATGTGTGAGTGGCTCTATTGTGGGCGAAAAGGGAAGGTGAGGCAGGCGCAGATTTTAAACGAGGGTTCTGTAATGCTAACGGACACTTACTCACCGTTGGCTACCGAGACATGCAACACAATCGGTTTCGTAGCATTCGTCCCGCTGCGCTTTTGCGGTGTGGACGCTCTCTTTCGACAGAAGGTTTTTTGGGAAGATCTCTTCTGAAAAAAGCTTTTTCCGAAAGAAGCCTGCAGTCTAGCCGTTGCCTGAATGGAAGCTATGAAAGTCACATAGGCGCCGGTGTGTACTTTACCCGACGGCTAGGTTCTGCCGCCTTTTAACCATGCCTTACTCGGAATCGAGTTTAGCTTCTCCCATTTTCACTGGGATGAGGGTGTGGATTTAAGGACTGGGGGAGCCGGGCTCCAGATCTCATTGAAAGCCAAGGGGATAGAGATGCCCCATTCAGGGAGGTTCCTTCGCAAATCCCCACCTGCTTCTCCAGGTTGTGGCTTTCAAAGACCATCTGCTTGAGTTTTCGTAAAGCGTCTGATGACAGTGGGATGTTGGTGCCAACAATAAGCTCATCTTCGGGCAGGGGACATCCGTGAAAGTAATTCCTGGTAAGTGAAAAAACTCAGCCATGCTTTGCAAGGGTTCTTTCATCCACTGAACGCATGGCATTGAGCTTGTGGGCTTAAAGTCACTCCGGATTCTGCAAAGAGCGTGATACAGGAGCTTAAGGACAAGATGTAGGGTTAGGTGAATTTGAAACCCCCACCTACTATCAGGTTTGGAAGACCTGGCACCCATAAGTTGTAGTTCGTCATTCAAATATAGTAGGCACATATGAAAATTACAGCCTCCTCCCACCCTGTCTCCCCATACACCCCCTCTATCTATCTATCTATCTATCTATCTTAGCCAGGGGATAGAAATGGTGTCCCTGGCCTCTGTTTGTTGGAGGCTGGAGAGTGATGGCAGGAGACAAATCGCTTTATCATTGTCTTTGGTCCGCGCCCCCGCTCCGGGGCACCTGGCGCTGGCCACTGTCGGCAAACAGGCTACTGGGCTAGATGGACCTTTGATCTGACCCAGTACGGCCGTTCTTATGGTCTCTTTCTTTCTTTCTTTTGGAATACCTTCCTGTACTGACAAGGAGATTCAAAATCCCCCCAACCCATAGTTGCTTGTACCACTTTCGGTGCTGTAACTTTCGGTTCTTGTAAAGCTTTTGATGACTGTGTCACTTCTGGTGGGAGCTACGCCGTTATCTTCGGGCAGGGGACACGGTTAACAGTAAAGCCAAGTAAGTGGAAAGCTCAGAAAGACTTTACAAGGATCGGTTGAAAGTCTGACAGTGATCGTAGCCTAGTTTTTATGCTTTTCTTGTTGGTGAGACGGCAGTGGAATGCAGCCAGCTCCCGGTTGATGAAGGGGGTAAAGGGTAAGATCGTTAACCAATGTACCTCCATTAAAGGCAGTGGATCCAGGCAAACTTCCATCTCTTGGAGACCGAGTGCATGATCTGTAAATACAGATTCTCCATCAGTTTCATCATAGGTGACAGCGGGAAAAGGGAAGGAGATAGTGTCCATTGTCTCCATACTTTCCTTCGTGTCTAACACGGGCTTTTATGAAGTTGTGAAGTAGAGTTTCTCTTGCTGAAAGAGAGGGGCAGAACCTACCTAAAAGGGAGGAAGGCGAAAAATGATTCTCCACGGCCTCTGAGGATAGGACAAGAGGCAAGGGGCTTAAACTGCAGCCAGGGAGGTTTAGATTGGACACTAGGAAAAACTTCCTGCCTGTCAAACACTGAAATAAATTGCCTGGGGGAGAGGTGGGGGCGGGGGGGAG